GCTGAGTGCTTAACGTACAGTATCTTATTTAATTAATCCTCCCAGCAGGGTTAATTTAGCTCCATTTTTATAAATGAGGAAATGGAGGCTCAGAGAGATTAAGTAATTTGTCCAAGGTCACACAGCTAGAAAGGGGTAGAGCCAGGATCTGCTACTCAGGCAGTCAACTGCAAAGTCCTTACTCCTCCTCTCCACAACATTTTCTAATAAAAACTTTCAAACATACAGTAAGGTTGAAAGGATTGCACAGAGATCACCTGAGTTCCCATCACCTATATTCTACCATGAACTTTACTGAATTTTACTGAATTGCTGTAGAAAATAAGAATGGTGATTTATTTTCAGAATGGAGCCTAGCTTATCTTGGGTTTTCAAGATGGTGTCTAAATGCTTTGTGCTTCTCTTTTGCTGATTCACTTCCTGCTTCTTTGATCTTCCTTTTCAGGGACTTTTTACTTTGGCAGACTTCATGTTTAAACTTTTGGCAGGTAATTCTGTAAGCCAATCAACAAATAGGATATGCAAATAAAATGATTCTGTAAGCCAATTGGCAAATAGGACATGCAAATGAAATGATTCTGTAAGCCAGTCAAAATATGTCACGCAGTTGACTTACATGGGAACCTGTAACTTCTTCTATGAGGAACCAGAAGAGGGACTTGTGTTTTAGGGATAAAAGTGCTGGTCTTTCTGGCTTCGGTGTGCCTGCTCACCTGAGAGAAGCCTATTCTTGCAAATACTATATTAAAAGGGCTGCTTCACTCCACCAATCTCTGAGCCTCCACATCATTCTTTAACAACGAAGCTGAAGAGGGTTGATTCTGTCTCCCACAATTGCTTTATCACACAGTTTTTATTTATTTTTTACAGAAAAAGCAAATGAGCACAGAGAAGTAAAGTAACTTGGCCAAGGTCGCACAACTACAATAGCACTGGAGCAAGGCTGTTTCCAGCAGCATATGTCGTGATCTTTCTAATGACATGTTGTAATCACTATGTACTAAAATGCGTCCCTCAGGCACACAGTGCAATAACTGTTTCTTAAAATGAACATACATAAATGCTAAGAATGTTGCATACAGTAAAGATGACTACAAAGCTTAAGAATTGTAATAGGACAGAGGCATCCAAAGAGGATTATCTGAACATACCAGGAAAGCAAGGAGAGGGATTTTGGTACCTGAAGCCCCACCATTCCAGTCTTATTTCTTTACAGACACACACACCACACACACACACACACACACACACACACACACACACACACACACACAAACACACACACACTCCTTCAGTCAAAGTGTTCCACTTGAGTAGATGGAAAAGAGACCCTGGGAAGGCATATGGCTAGCTTATTGCCAGAGCTGGCATTCCACCCTCTGCCTCCTAGGACCTGGGACTTACCCTGCCCACCAGACAGTAGGGCACAGAGTTCCATTATCTAGGGTGGGCCTGGGTTGCTACTGAGTGAGCAGGGCTGAAGGACTATACGCTACTTCAAGAGACACACTCTGAATGTATATAGAAGGATTGTGATGCCTGATAGGTAGCAGGTGGGAAAGGATAGAAAGAAAAGGAAAAGACAAGGCAGGAAGAGAAGGGAAGGGGAGAGAGGGAGGGTGGGAGGCAGGAAGTTTGGTTGAAATATACTGTCAGTGGCACAGGATAAAAATAATCGTCTTTTCTGTGATTGAAAGCGTTTCTAAAAATCAAAGGTAGGGACAGCTGCTGTGCTAAGGTGGTGGGATTATGACTGCTTTGGTAAATGTCTTTAAAGTTCTTATTATATAGTTTTACAACAGGTGACATTCTGGAGCAGAGAGATGTAAGAACATGCATGGATAGGAAATTCAGAACGACTCACCAAGGGGAACTCGGCTTGTGATGATTTTATAAGTGTTACATACGTTCCTAACACGTCCCCCAGGGGGCCCCTGAGAGCAAGAAGCAAGGCCTACTGAATTGAGCTTCAGAATTTCACAGAGCTTAACAGGGCTTCTGATGGCAGGGTCCAGACACCCACAGAGAGAGGGCCACAGCAGACAGAGGCAGGAGGCCTGCACCAGGGCCAGGGCTGAGCTCTGTGACAACATGGATAACTTTAGGCAAATCCCTTAACCTGCCTGACTAGTATCCTCTTCCTTAAAGCAAGAGGCTTCATTTGACTAGGGGTGACAAATTCAAATGCTCTGAAGAGTGACTCAGGGAACTCAGAACTGAATAGGCCATCAGAGACTATGGTGTCCTGGAGATCACCTGCCCAGGCTTAGACAGCAGGGGCCACTCAGACCCAGGTAAGCGCTCGGCCTCTTCCTGCCAGTACAGAGAAGCTAGAAATCTAGACTTTAAAAAAAAATTTATTAAATTATATATATATATATATATATATATATATATATATATACACACACATTTTTTTTTTTTGAGTTGGAATCTCACTCCATCACTCAGACTAGAGTGCAGTGGCACACTCCCGGCCACCGCAGCTTCGACCTGCTGGGTTCCGGTGATCCTTCCACCTCAGCCTTCCAAGTAGCTGGAACTACAGACGCACGCTACCACACCCGGCTAATTTTTTTTTATTTATTGTAGAAATGAGGTCTCGCCAAGTTGCCCAGGCAGGTCTCAAACCCGCGGGCTCCAGCAATCCACTCACCTCGGCCCCCCAAAGCGCTGGGATTATAGGCTGAGCCACCGAGCCCAGCCAATTTATATTTTTAAAAAAATTTTTTTTAGAGACAGAGTCTGTCTCTGTCAACCAGGCTGAAGTGCAGTGGCACAATCATAGCTCACTGCATCCTTGAGCTCCTGGGCTCAGATGATCCTCCTGCCTCAGGCCCCTGAATAGCTGAGACTACAAGTACATGCACTATGCCTAGCTAGGTTTTTTTTAATTCTTATTTTTTGTTGAGACAGGGCCTTGCAATGTTGCCCATTGTCTTAAACTCCTGGGATAGAGTGATCCTCTCATCTCAGCCTCCCTAGTAGCTGGGATTTCAGGCAAAATCTATACTTTCATATGGACTTCCCTCAATTTTTCTGTTGGCCTTCAATTTTTTAAAAGTATAAACACCTCGAAAGTGACAACAAACATGGATGTATTCTCTGGGTTAGATGTTCCAGAAACTCCCCGAGTTCAGGGCATCAAGCCAGCCTGCTGCCTGCCCCTGCCTTATTACTGCATAGCCTATGTATTGTCAACCCCGTGGCTCCTCCAAGAGACCACTTTGGTCAGAGGAGATTGGCAAGAAGATGGCAAAAAGAGGGTAATCACAGCTTCTGAGTGGGACAAACCAGATCTGATCTGTTTCTAGAGCTGGGAGGGGCCTCTGCAAAGGGCAGGTAGGGCCCTATCTGGGACTTCTTAATTCCAAATAAAGATGACAAAATTCCCAGCTGGGGCATTTGACTTGGTGCCTCCTGATTCAGGCATTGAGACTGGGCATCTGAGGCCCTTCTAGTTCTAGAAAATCCACTGTGGATCACAGCATGGAGCATCTCAAACTTTGCCATGTGCAGGCATTCTGCATTTCTTTTTTTATTATAAAGATGTAGGGTACAATTCAGCATTAGGTATACAAGTGTTCATTAGTCAGGTACTCTTGTTGATGAGGGGTGCCCCTCCTTCCCCTGGCAGTTTCCCACTACTGCCAATCCCTTTCTCATAGTATTATGATAATTGTTCCAGGTCCGCTTATGAGTGAGACTATATGGTACTCTGTTCTTTGTTTCTGTGACAGATCACTGATTATGATAGACTCTAAATCCATCCAAGTTGCTGCAAAGTCCATATGTTTGTCCTTCTTTAAGGCTGCATAATATTCTATTGTGTATATGTACCACATTTTTTTAGCCAGTCTAGCTTCGATGGGCAGCATGGATGGTTCCATGCTTTTGCTCCCAGGTAACATAGCTACTACTGGGACTCAAGCCATCCTCTAAACCCCCTTCCCTCTCAAGCTCTCGTCCTAATCTTCTTTCCTATTTCTAACAAACCTTCTGAGAGAGGAGTCTATGCCTGCGGCCTTAACTTTTTCACCCACCCTCCTCTCTGTTTAAATTCCATCATCTGACTTCTACCACCATGCTCCTAAATTTTTTTTTTCCAGGCTACTAATAACTTTCAAACTGTCTAATGCAATGGTCCCTTCTAAGACCCTATCTACACAAAGCTCTCTATTTGATGATAATAATGATAGCTGATATCTATCAATTGGATTTTAAATTCACCAAACTTTGTCCCAGGTCTTTACCTAAGATGTATTTCAAACGCATTATCTTACCATTCCATGAAATGTTTTAGGATTAGCCCTGTTTTTATAAATGAGGAAACGGAGGCTCTGAGAGACTAAGTAATTTGCCTGAGGTCACACAGTCAGAAAGGGGTAGAGCCAGGATCGGCTACTCAATCAACTGCAAAGTCCTTATTCCTCCTCTTCATAACATTTTTTAATCAAAACTTTCAAACATACGGTAAGGTTGAAAGGACTGCACAGAAAACACCTGAATCCTCACCACCCAGATTCTACCATGAACATTACATTTTACTGTATTGCTTTATCACACATCTTTCCAAAGATTGTCTCCTTTGGTTCCATTTAAAAAGCAGCTTGGAAGGCACTTTTGAGGCTAAGCTCGGACGTAGCCATTTGTGAATTAGAAATAATTAGGCATCTTCTGAAACCCACTCATCCCAATCCCTCCATGGCTGGGGAGTGGACTGGGGGCAGGCAGGGAGGAGGTTGTTGATCTGGGAACATCTGTGCCCATCGACACAACACACAGCCCAGCAACCAGCTCTGATCTCTCCCTCGGCACAGAGCGGAGAAGGAATGATATTGAGGAAAGTTCATCACCTCGAAATATCTCCCTGAAGGTTAGGTCAGCCTGGGTTGTTTCTGAAAGTGGCCAGAGGACAGCGGGAGAGGCAGTATGAGGTAAGGGCAGCCCTGCCTAACTTCAGAGCCCTTCCACCTGCTCCCATGGGATTATAACAGCACCTGGTGTCCCTGTTGTATCCTGTCTTTCAGCTGCAGGGGGCCTCCCAGGAGTGGGATGGAAGGGATGTCACAGAGATTTTCCACCAGGGTCCTCTGTGTATCTAGAGGGAACAAAACAAGCTCAAAGAATGCAATGTGAACAGTCCCCCTAGGGTCCTGCAGGGTAGCGGCAACCTTCTAGTCCATCTGCTTCAAGGAAAAGTTGCCCAACCATAAAAAGCAGCTTTCTCTGGTGTCCCGTGCAAAGTAAAGACCCTGCAAATGGGGCCACATATGAACAGAGAGGGCTTGGAGCCGGGGCGGGGAGTGCTGGACTCTCAGCTCTGACACTATAGGTTCTCTACCCCTTCTTGCTGTGTGTCCTTAAGAAACCCTCCTACCCTCTCTGGCTCAAAGCTTTCTCATCTGTACAAATGACTCCACACCAAATGAAAAGACCAAGCAAATTCTAGCCCATCTCCTACATCCAAGATAGTGAGCCAGGCGCCAGGTGGAGGGGAGAGAGGCACACTAAGGGGTGCAGCAGATAGTTCAGGGCACTGATCTAATCCTTTTGCACATATTAGCTCATTTAATCCCTACACCAACTGTGAGGAGGGCGTGCTTTTTATCCACATTGTGTTGATGAGGAAGGTGGGGCACAGAAAGGCTAAAGCTTTCCTAAGGTCATATGGTTAGTAAGAGGCAGAGCTAGAATGTAACATAGACAGTAGTTAGTTTCTGGAGTTCATATGGGTAACCCCCACCAAATGCTGCCGCTAGAGAAGCTGAAAACCCTCTCTGCCCTCCAGGCAGACTTGGTCCAAGGAAGGGAACAGGACAAATGTGAAGATTCAAATGCTGATACAATATTTAAATAACTCTTTGAGATAATAGTGGGAAAGATGCTGCCAGGGAAACATGATTAATTGCCAAATGAAAGTGTTTAGACAGAATTGCTCTAAAGGTCCAGAAAAAGAAAGAAAAAGCCAACTGTAAGCTCATTCTCAGATTGAAGGAAGCTGAGAAGGTTGAATGTAACTAGCTTTTGAAGAGTGAGCAGGATTTGAACAGGAAAGAGGCAGAGAGAGAGAGAGAGAGAGAGAGAGAGAGAGAGAGAGCATTCCAGCAAGAATCAAAATTCAAAGGGGCAGCTACTATGTTTGGAAAGGTGCGGTACCCCCAAATGACTGAAGATGGCTTAGGTGTGAGCTGAGATGAAGTCTGAACTTCACCCTATAAGTAATAGAGAATCATGGAGGAATTTTAGTGAGACTAAAAGAGTTTAATGACCAAAATGTCTGCTGGTGTTGCACTGGATACCCTAGGGGGCAAGGGAGGAACCTGATGAAACCTCCCAGGTGTTCACCAAAGAGCCCTTGGGTTTTGGCAATGGAAAGCAAGAGGCTAAGGTCATGACACTCTACAGAGACTGCCCAGGAAGGGATACACTTCAGTTGGAAGTCTTGAGGTAGGTTTCCTCCCAGGACTCTTTAGAATTTGGCACTCTGTGTCATCAGGGAAGCAGGGAAATAAGATCCAAAGTCCCCTTCCCACCCCCGCCACCCAAACCCCCAGGCTCACATCCAGTGAGCAAGATTTTTTAATGCTATTTTTAATCTTTCTGTTGACCAAAAACACACTGGGAAGAAATGAAGCATGAACATCAACAAGAGCCTCTCCCAACTCTTTCCTCTCTCTTCCCTCCTATTAACCACTCGGCGACCCTGCAGACTCACCATATGGTCCACAAGCTAGGCGGCCCTTTCTGATCCTGGATAGGCTGATCTGCTTAATTATTTGGAGGCTATAAATAGAAGCATTGGACAATAGGCTGAAAATTTCTTTTGGTCTTGCAAACAAAGACAGGGTCTTTGGCAGAATTGGAGAGTAGGGGTTTCACTCCCTCCATCCAGGCCATTTTCTTCCATCTGAGCCACCATAGCCTCAGGGCAGCTTCATAACCACCTAGGATCTGCTAGGGACGGCCCCCTAACAGCTGAGCCAGCAGGGAGATGCACTGGGGTCACCCACAGTTCTTAGAGTGGATGGGTTTCAGGAAAGAGATCACTTAGGAGACTCAAAAGGTCCATCTGCATTAGGTGTCTCCTTGCCTACAGAGTCAAGACCAGCTCCAGTCACCCAAAGCTCTTCCTACCTTACCACCCTCTGCACCCATGTTCAACCTTCACTCCTGCCCCCACCCCACTTGCAGGTTAGAGCAGCTTCCCCAAGGAGTGGATTCCTCCAGACCCAGAACCAGGAGGTAAGCCCAGTGAATATCCCCAGTGCCTGCAGGAGGAAGCCTAGCACCCAGGATTCCCCTCCTTCCCCTCGCCACCTGGACTCCTGCCACTTTTCATCTATAAGGATATTTTGTACTTCACAAGTATACCCTCTCTTGCCCGAGCTCTTAAGGTATTCCTTCTAGCTATCCCCACCCTCATCCCAGTGGCAACCCATGTTAAAGTCAGATGAGCCTAGCTTGGCCTAATGTGTCTGCTGCTTTACTAGTTGTGAGACCATTGGCAAAAGGCTTTATTGCTTACTGCCTCAGCTTCCTCAACTGTACAATGGGCACAATAGCAGTACTAACTCTTAGGATTATGAGGACCTGTTGGGAAAAAGCAAGTAAAAAGTGTCACTTAGAGCTTGACAACAGCAAATGCTTGCTAAGGTGTGTCGCTGGCAGCTTTTATATGAGCTTGACTCCTAGCATGCCACTGCACTGGATTCAGCATGTTTGCTAAGCAATTGGTTTCTCTGTTCTTCCCTTTTTCCCTTCACATCCCAAAGGAACAGCCAGGGAACCAGAGGACTCAGTACCTGGGGCTCCCAATCAAGTGCAGTATGAATCTGAATGTGTTTCCCTGAGTGCCTGACACCTGCTGTCTACCCTCTGTCATCTTACCTCCACCCTTACTCAGGGGCTCCCACTCTGCACAGGTGGCCAAGGTGTGGGGAGAGCTCTTCTTCCTAACACGTGTTTGCTTTTCAGTTAATGTGTTTGCCCAGATACATGACACCATGATGACCAATGGAATCAGAGGTGATTGGGTACTCACACACAGACAGGGCAACCAGGTGAAGGACAAAGCCCTTGCGGGACACCAGTCTCCCTAAGAGGGACAAGACTGGCTCCCCAAGAAGAGGAGAAAGGTCATCCCTCTCAGAGGCCCATGTATGTTTTTCCAAGGGAAAGTTCTCAGTGGTTCCAGCAGGCTTCTGGAACACTCCTACAGACCAAGGGTTAAGTTTCTCATTGTTTTGAAGCCACTGAGTTCATAGAGTCTGCCACCATCACACACCTCCTTCAGATCCATCACAAAGCACCCATCATGGGCATCTTCAGAGGCATTTATGGATTATGATCAAGGCTTAGAGAATTCTGCTTTATGCAAGTGTGGCCAGGCTAGGCTCCATGGACATCATGGAGGACAGGTGAGATGCTGCCAGTTGGAGAGAGTAGCAGGCCCTCATGAAGCACAGGGACCTCAGCACATGAGGAATCAGCCCTACTGGGCACTGTGCTGGCTCTCAGGTGGAACATGAAGGGAGTGGGTTTTGGAAAAAAGAGGCCAGGGTCAAGGCCTAGCTATGCCAATTCCTATCTAGGTGAACACTAGTCCTTCCTTTAACCTCCAAATGCCTCAATTTTCTCAACAAAGAAATGAAGATTAAAAATAGGGAGGGACACACCTCATCAACAAGGGTACCTACAAAATGAACATTTGCATACATAACCCTGAATTGTACCCCACATCTTTAAAATAAAGATATAGATATAGATAGATATAGATATCCTGCAGAAATAAGACCTGGTGTTTGATAGATGAGTTGGATGGCTATAGTTTACAATAATTGATTATATATTTCAAAATAGCTAGGAGAATAGTTCATGTGTTTATAACTTAGGAAAAAGACAAATATTTAAGGTGATATGTATCCCAATTACATTGATTTAATCTGTACAATTTATATGAATGCATTAAATTATGATGTGTACATAATATGCACATTTATTATCTATCAATCAAAAATAAGTCATAAAGAGAAAGAAAGATATAGATATAGATAAATAGAGACTTCCTGTAAATAAGATAGATTGTATATACTTTTTAAGTACACATTGGATGCTCAGTCATTTTTTTAAAAACCTGCAAAGGACTTTTTTTGGGGGGGAGGGTTGTTTTTGTTTTTGTTTTTTTAGTTGGAGTCTCACTCTATTATCCAGACAGGGCAATGGCATGGTCATGGCTCACCAAAGCCTCAACCTTATGCTAAGGTGATCGTTTTGCCTCAATCTCCCAAGTAGCTGGGACTACAGGTGAGTGCCACCACATCCAGCTAACTTTTGGATTGTTGTAGAGATGAGGTCTTGCTATGCTGACTAGGCTGGTCAATTTAGAAAGGTGACAAGCACATAGTAGGAGGTTTTTTAATAAGGTTGAAGTTTGCAGAATGATTGTGGTGACTGGTTCAGATTCCTTCTGCTCTGGGAAAAGGCTTAGTCCTGAGACTCACCCAACGTTTCACCACGGTAAATTCTCCAAGGATGAAGAAAGGTGGGCAAAGAGAAAGAGACCTTATCTCTCTTCTCAAAAGCTGCAGCAGTTAGATAAAGTATGTTGTAGGTGGCCAAGCAGCTAGATCCTTAAATAGCAACTAATGACTTTGATTGAAATTGATAATGAAACAACACCTGTTAGCTGATTTGAAGCCCCCTTAATTTGCCACATGGCAATTCTATTCACCAACCTATCAGCTGGTCCGTGAGCTGTAAAATGCTATAATGCCATACCATATGCCTCGCTTGTCTCCTGTGTTGGGAGGGGGAGGCTGTCCTCAGGATGGTTATCAGTCCCAGGGGCCCGACCACTCTGGAGGTTATCCCAGGAGCTTCCCAGGCATTCAGAAAGGCTTGAGGACACTCTGTTCCAGTGACCCCCACTGAGCCCTAAGTAGTAGCTGGACAGCCTCTTTGAAGGTGAAATCTCCCCCCAAGCAAGGGGAGAAATGCATCCCAAGAGTTACTGATGCCTTGCCATGACTGGGTCCTAGAAAAGCATCACTGGATGACAAAAGAAATTCTCCGCTTGAACAGTGAAATACAGTTGTCACCACCACCATTATCTCCCAAGATAGGGGCAGGACATGGAGAAGTAAACATGCCTACACCATACTGTGAGATCTGGTTTCTATAGCAACTCAACCAGGTTGCAGGAGTACCTATGAGAGAGATGCACAAGGATCACCCCAGACAGGGCCAGAATTCTGGAATCCCAAAGCAAGGACCACTCAGCAGTGTTTAGACCTCAGAAGGAGCTTTGTTCAGCCTCAGCCTCCCCAAGTGCAGGGATTATAGGCATGAGTCACTGTGCCCCACTTGTGCTAGGGATTTTAAAGGGAAAAAAAATCCCTGGATCTTCCAAAAAAGTCAGGGAAATCACGGGGGTGGGGGGAAATGTGGCTAGGACCTCAGCTTTCTACTTGGCAAGCTCCAAGAATATCCAGCAACCTGGAGCTAGTGTGCAGAGCTGAGACAGGTCCCATGGGTAAGCTGAGCTATGCTGGGATTTTAATTCATTTTATGTTTATTTATTATTTTTTTTATGTTTATTTCTTTAAGACAGGGTCTCGCTCTGTCACCCAGGCTTGAATACAGTGGCACAACCACAGCTCACCACAGCCTGGACCTCCTAAGCCCAGGCAATCTTTCTGCTTCAGCCTCCCAAGTAGCTGGGATTACAGGTGCATGCCACCACATCCAGCAAAATTTTTTCTGATGTTTTGGGGAGATGAGGTCTCACATTGCCCAGGCTGCTCTCAAATTCCTGGCCTCAAGCGATCCTCCAGCCTCAGCCTCCCCAAGTGCAGGGATTATAGGCATGAGTCACTGTGCCCCGCTTGTGCTAGGGATTTTAAAGGGAAAAAAAATCCCTGGATCTTCCTCTCCTCTCCTCCAACACACACACACACACACACACACACACACACACACACACACTGCAAACATATATGGGAAAATCAACAAATACAAATCTCTTGCCATTGTTGTGGTTGATTTGTTGATCAGAAAAATATCAGTGAATGACCAATTTCAACAAGGTTCTTTACTGAAAGTTTCTAATGAACTCTACTTTTGAATATTTCTATTACTATACCCATAGAGCACTTGTTGTTTTTAGCTGTGCAGTATTTCCTAACAGGACTCAGCATTGAGAGGGAAGGAAGAAGTGAGGGACCAAGGAAAAGACCTGAAACCCAAACCCCACACCAGGTACACGCTAGCACAATTAGCAACCAGTGACTGGCTTCCTGAGTGCTGATATGGAATAACTCAGGAAACCCAATCACACCAGGGTCCTGCCTACTGTCCACAGATGTCATCACAGTCATCGGTCAAGGCTGAGGGAAGTTAGCACAAACAGGCAACAGGGCCACCCTATCTCTGCTCCTTCATCAAATCCCAAAATACCACGACAACACCCAAGCCAGGGCCCTCTGAGGACATGAAAGGAAACTCAACTTCATGTAAGAGGGACTCAAAGTATGTCCCTTGTCAGTCAAGAGGCGGCACAGGCTGGAGAGACAGAGGAAGGCAGGAGCTGGGAAAATGAATGGGGCAAGTGTGAAGGAGGAAGGCACTTAGCTGGGAAGGTTGGCATCGGAGGGAGCTGGGTGGATCCTGGGAACCTACCTCTGTCAGGTGAAGCTTCTGTTTCTGTGTCTCCTGGCTAAGGAGACCCCTGGATGACCAGTGAGACTGAATGGCATCACTGCCTATGAAGAGCCCTTCAGCTGTGGAGCTGGCTGAGGAATCCAAACAGACAAGCATTCCAGACCAAAGACCAGTCTTTCACCACTACCTTAGGGGTTACTAGATAGATGCCCAACAAATACTGATTGCCTGGCTGGTGACTTCTGGCCTGGATTCCTGTCTGAGGGCTACAGTGGCCTCTCTCAGCTTGGATAGAACTAGGGAAGCTCTATCCAGATGCCCTGTATTCACCTCAAAAGAGCCCATGAAGAGAAATGATCCAGCCCAGGGAGATTCTCAAGGCCCTGGTCAGTTGCCCCAGAAGTCACCTCAACATTTGTCAAGGAGGAGTTGAGCCTTGAAAATCCAGACTTCATGCAGAAAGAAGCAGATAATCTCCCCAGATGCCCAAGATTAACTAGATGGAGGACAAAGAACAAAGGCCAATCCGGGTCACTCAGCAAGACACATCCCAGGTTGGCCTGGTTTCCTTAGAGTAGGTGGGACCAACAGGCTTCAGAGGATAGCTAGAAAGCAAACAATGGAGAAGAGGCCACAAGAGGTGACCCCTGTCCATTTCTCAATGACAGCCTCTCTGTCCAGGTGCCTACGCTGCAATGCTTTTCATACAAGCTCTCCCTCACAATGTCTTTTTTTCTGCCTCCAGACCTTTACTCACTACATTCTGCCCTCCTGGAAAGTTCTTTCTGCTCCTGTCTCCTCCCAAGCTCCTTCATCAAGCTTTGCCTGCCACAGAGTTGCATCAGCCCAGTGCCCTTCAGGGAAGAACTTGCCACATGACTTTGGGGAATGGATTTAGCAGACAGCCCCTGGCTGTCAGTTCCTTCAAGGTCATCCTCAGCTGCAGAGAGTGGCCTCATCCAAAGTTACCCTTCCTGGGACAGCCTGTAACTGATGATGGAGTGATGTGGAGTATAGAAGCCCCACCATTTGGGCCCCAAGGGATCAACTCTGTTGGACAAATTCACTCCACAGCTCCCTGCTGGATTGACTGAAGCCTTGTAGAAATTGGTATCAACCCTTGATAATGTGTCTCTCTGGTCACTCCTGCCTCTATCCCTCCTTTGTCAGGTGTGGATTCCTAATAAACATGGTGAGCCCAAACACAGCATCCATTTCCGGAGAACCCAATCTACTCCGGTGCCCATCCCACCCACAGATTCAATCACTGGCCATTATTATAGCAGCATGTATTCCTACCACAGAAGATGCTCAATAACCCTTTGACAAACACATGAAATAATTTGTTACCACTTGTTGGCTGAGCTCTTGAAGAGCCTCCCCCTCTTCCACGCACCCAGTAGATGTTGATCAGGTACATGGAATGATGTGAGACCAACGAAAGGAAAATGCTATCACAAGAGCAAGACTTCCTGTGGCTCCCAGGAATCACCCAACATGCTTGCTCCTAAAGACCATGCAGGGAGATGGCTCACCTGGGAGGTTTTGAATCCT